GTTTTTTTTAATTAAATCAAATATTCAGGGATCCTAAACCACAAAATAGTTTTAAAAAAGGGGGTACTCACCATGTCATTGAAGAACATTGACTAAATATCTGGATTGTGTAATGATAGAAGATTAATCGTTTAGAAGTTGAGAAAGAACATTATCACTGTAATTGAGGTTTCAGGAAATCAATTGAGAAAAAGATTTACATACCCTGAATGAATTTGGTACCATCTGATTCACAACAATCTAAAAAATTCTAGAGAAAAAAATTTTCAATAGTTTTACTCCCTCGGTCCCATAAAGATGGGTACGTTTTGACTAAAGTAGAAATTAAGGGAGGGATAATTTTGTGTTGACTTTCGAAAAATTCCCTTGATGAATATATATATATATATATATATATATATATATATATTGATGTGTAGATTATTAGGAAAAAGATATGATGTGATAGATAGTGTTTGAAAAAGTAAGGAATAAAAGTGGTTTTTTAATAGAAATGGGTAAAGGATTGTAGGGCGCAATTTTTTTGAAACGTGTAAATCTTTTTGGGACGGAGAGAGTATATTTTACTATAACTATTAACAAAAGTTAAGGTCAAACATTGTCTTTTGTTATATTATTTTTAACCAATTTAGTATTTAGTCATGGTTAACTTTATGTTACTTTTTTACGAATGAAGGCAAAGACATGATTAAAAATATTGGTTCTAGATAACAATGAAAACCTTTACAACCATACCAAAAACGTTGTGCACCCTAAAGTCTTCCAAAAAATTGGAATTAAATAAGGTCTTTTCAAGTACACTTTCATTTCCTCAAATATAATTTATTCTACTTTTGTCGTTGTTGTGCATTGATTAAAAATCGTGTTAGAAATATATTTACTTGATTTCGGAGAATATATTACACAGAAAAAAATCGAAATCGATAAAAATTTTGTGTAACCCCGTGCGTCGCACGGGTCAAAATACTAGTTGTAATTATAAAGTGCACTGTGTGATTTTTTTTGTTAATCAAGATAAGGCTGAATTATTTTTGTCAAATTTTCTTTCAAATAAGATTTAAAATAATGTTCCCTTCATCAACTATTTTTTGAACATGGGCTAGTGGCATGTTAAGTTTAAACTCAGAAATAAAAAAAATGTATGTATCATTATTGATAAAGAAATTAAACCTTACTAAGTGCATGTCTTTAGGACTTGAACTGTTAAATTTTATTTTCTTTCAGTGTTTTCCAATCTCTTCCAATTCTTTTCAATTTCTTACATTTTCTTCCTATTTGTTATCGTTCTTCCAGTTCCTTACACTTATTATGTTCATAACTAGAGCCTATAAATTGAATCATTTTTTGAACTCACTATTTTTATTATTCACATTGATCACATTATGTGACATATCTAATATTTAAAACAAAATCCTGTAATATATAAAGTATAATTACAAATATATTATTTTATGATAAATACTGCATAAATAAAGTGACGTGCAACGTAGCTACAATAACTATTAAATATTTAACATTTTGATATTTATGCTAATTTTATATTCTAATTAATTTTTTTGGCAAAAGTAGTTTTTTCGTATGAAAAATAAATGATGATGTAAATTACCTAACCGGGTAAACAGTACTAGACCGTGTCTAGGATTATTTACTTGATTCGATAAAATAAAAGGTAAAAAAACACGTACAAACTGACCGGGAAGACTGTAGGTGGAAACACTTGTAGGCCAACTAATATTATAACAGAGAATGCACGGGAGATTTTACAGGGGAGTTTAGAGAGAAGAAATCGGATCCTCTCATTCGAAGGTTACAACCGTATTTATACTAAGCTAAAGGGGGCATGGTGCTCACGTTCTCGGATGATGTGAGGTGATTGCCTTTGTCCTTTAGTTGCCTTGTCACCTAGTGAGGAAAGTGGCTCCTTTGTCCCGTACTGCCTTGGATGGATTGGTCGAGCATTTCCATGATTCTCTGCTGATCATGGTCGCTACGGTCCAAACTTCTTTGGATTCTTCTCTGATCTGCCGACACTCTCTAACCCTAGAAACCATACCGGATAGTTTCGGAGGGATGAGTTTTCTGAAATTGGGGAATGAACGAGGCGATAAAGTAGTTTGACCGGTATAGTATCCAAAGTATACCGGTCCACTTTTGAGCCAACCATGCACCCTTTTACTGACGATTCAGGTCTCCTATCCTGGAATATCAACCTTGACCTGTTGATATTTGAGCGTCTTCTTTGACCGGTTCTGGGTGGATTACACCCATCAATAATAATATTTTTTATATATTAAAGACATTCATTAAGATAACATGATAATAAGAAAAATAACAACAACAAGAACAATAGTAGTAGTAGTAGTAGTAGTAATAGTAGTAGTAGTAGTAATAATAATAATAATTTACAACAACAAGAAGTAGAGTTAGAATAATATAAAAATACATAAAAAAGTTTTTTAAAGTTTTTTTAGATTTTCCAAGTTTTTTCAATTTTACTTAAAATTGATATTTTATGAAATTGATTTAGATGAAATTAAGTTTTCCAATTCTAACTTATTTTTGGCACTATCAATTTTAATTCATACAAAGTATATTTTTATAATACCGAATACATTTTCCCTAGGTCTAATTCCACAGTCAACAACATTTTTTTTTCTCGGTCACGAAAAATGTTGGAAAGAAGGAAAAAAATTTGGCCGGGACCGTTGATAGAGTTTGGCGGCTGAGTTCCCTCCTCCGGTCCTCCTGGCGCCGCGTTCTGCCATTTCCAACGGCGTCCTCAACTCAGAGCAATAAAAAGAAAGTGTCAAACCAGTTAAGAGATAGACTCAGCAGTTCTGCTCCCCTTGCAGCGATATTCTTCTCTTCGCCGTCCCGAGAGTGAGGTTGACGACAGGATGCACGCGGAGCCGAAGGCTGCAAGACCTCGTCTTGACCGGCGGAACGCGATCAACAGTAACGATTACACGGCGTATTCCGACTCGACGCCGTCCTCTCCCATCAACGACCTGTCAACTCCCAGGATCCGATCGCTTGAATTTCTCTCGCCATCTGACTTGAAGAGCTTCCGGATCGGAGGAGACGAGGGCGAGATTGATTTGATTTGCCGCTCTCTGGGGATTTCCCCGGAAGATTTCGCTATACCGGATGCTGCTTGGGGGGCTCTCAGAGCTTCCACCACGGTGAGGAGGTCTAGATTTATCCGTAGTCCTAGGGTTCACATTACGAATGCTGATGAACTGGCGATATCTCTAGGGGTGCCTGAACATGAAATTAGGGTTTCAATGGGCGATGGATTTGAAATCAATGATAGTTCCCCGAGATTAGCTTCCACCAAAGAACCTGCTGGTGATAGTTTGAGCCAAGCTTGTGATTCTGGTAGGAGTTTTTGTCACCCTAGCGATGCGAATTGTGTTCATAATGTGGGGATCCCGGCCGATTCACAAGACCGGAGAATTGGGGATTTGGGGAATGCAATTGACAGTGAAAGAAGAAGTAATGAAGATGATGGTTCCCACTTCTTGAGAACAGAATATCTGCACACTGTCTCAGTTCATGGTTCTTTCAGGTGCAGCAAAAAGAATTGGCAAAAGGGTGACTTTCTTGGCAGTGGATCGTTCGGAACCGTCTATGAAGGCTACACGGAGTAACTCCTATATCTATTGACTATTAGTAGTACCAAAACCTAACAGAAGAATTATGTCTGGTTCTCAACGGTTGAGTGGGAATTTTGTCTGATTTTCAATAGTTGAAGGACCATCATTGAGTTGCATTAGAAAATCATAAGATGTACTATTAAGGAACCATAGAAGAAGGCTATGAATACTATTTTTGAAAAACTCACATGATCCCCACTGTCAAGTTTTGATGTGGAATGACTAAAGCAGAAGTTCTACAATATTTGTGACCAAAAAAATAGAACTGGTTTGTTTATGGCTGTACTTTCTTTTTTCCATTCCATCTCTCAAGAAGGAAAATATTCTTGTTTGCAGCGATGGCTTCTTCTTTGCTGTAAAGGAAGTTTCTTTACTTGCTGCAGGAAACCAAGGCCAGCAAAGCATTTATCAACTTGAACAGGTGGGAAGATTTTACGATTTCAAGAATATAAATTCATATTTTATACAATTTAACCTAAACTAACAGTTTTACAAGTTATTTTGGTGGAAAATTGCATTTTTTTCCTGACACCTTGTGGCTCGTGCCAGGAGATTTCACTTTTAAGTCAGTTTCAACATGAAAACATTGTTCGTTATCTTGGAACAGATAAGGTATATGCTTATCTTATGACTATTTTTCTCATATTTGTCGAGAGGAATTGCTTCTTGACTTGCATTTAGTGTCTCTTACTTATTCCCCATAAGTACTTCTGTCCCAATTGAAAAATTTCTTCCCTCATTTACTTTCGGCCCCAATCTTGAAAGTTGAAACATAATCATTCTCTATGCTATGCCTGTGAACTCACCTTATGAATGCACACAAACATCATATTTGTAAGGGTCCCTTTTACACTTGTTCAAATGATTGGAGTTCTTTGCAGGGTGACAACAAACTCTATATCTTCCTTGAACTTGTAGCTAAGGGTTCGCTCATGAGTCTTTACCACAAGTATCAACTGCACAATACCCAAGTTTCTTTGTACACTAGGCAAATTTTGAGTGGATTACATTATCTTCATTCTCGCAACGTGATTCATAGGTATAAATGTAATTTCTTTCTTATTCTTATATGCATTTTTTCAAGATTCAACCTCAATGTTATTCCTATTAATAGCATCCTTGAGGCCAGGACTCTTGACCCAAAAGGGTTAAGTGTAGTGATTTTTGTCTCAATATAATGAGTATCTTTAGTCTCCATTATATAAGAGTTACTGTGATTGCAGCTATTTAGGGTCCATCACGTAACTGTGTGTGTTCATTGGAATAATAGTTACTAGTTAGTGCTTGCATTGTATTTAAAAATAATGAAAAAAAAGAATACATGTTTTATGACTTTCTTTGTGAACCGTTTTTATTTGTCATGTGCATTTTAAAGTTAGAACTGTGTGACAAACAAATCAACTATATTAACTTAACACTCCTTTCCCCTGCAACAGGTCTAAGGTGTCTTAGCTACAAAACATGTGCATTACTGTCCGATACTTGTGCATATACTTATATTGATATACTTTTCCACCGTTAGGAATAAGAAATTTGAACATCTGTATTTATTACTATGAGGTGTGTTGCATAACACTAAGTTTACCCTTTCGGTTCACCATTTACCAAAGTGATATTGTTCATTTTCTGCTATTAAATAGAGTGATATAAACATACTTAAACATAACTAAATTGATAAGTGTTCGTGCTCGTCTTTATTTTAGGGATATCAAGTGTGCCAACATACTGGTGGACGTTAATGGTTCCGTGAAACTTGCAGACTTTGGGTTAGCAAAGGTTTTGTATTTTCTGCCGCTTGCTCTTTCCTTCAGTTGGTTTCACACTTTCATGTGCGTATTACATTGATGCCATGACTCTTCTCAGGCAACAAAACTGAATGACATAAAATCTTGCAAAGGAACTGCATTTTGGATGGCCCCAGAGGTTGTCTTTTTCTTTGAGATTCTACTTTGTGCATCAAAAGTGCTCTCATGGTAAATTGAAAAATAATGATGCCCATGTGATTTTTAGACACTTGACACAAGCTAATTTCTTTGTTTTTTTGGTAGAATAATACAATAAGATCCACTATTGCTTTCTTTGACCAATTTTCTATGCACATTTTGCTATATTCATATTGTAAACTTATGCAAACTTTGTTGGTATGATTACTACGGAGTAAAACTAACTTTAAACTGTGCAAAATTGAGTTAGGATTTGTTATTTGGAATCTCCCCTATAATTTGGCTAGAGCATATCTCTAAGGCATTCGATTAATTCATTATTTGCATCCATTCTCAGGTTGTTAACCGGAAAAACAATGGATATGGGCTTGCAGCTGATATATGGAGCCTCGGATGCACTGTTTTGGAGATGTTAACCGGTCAACTTCCGTACTCCAACTTAGATGGGGTGTGTATGATCTTCTCATCCGTCTTCACCTCGTGTACCCTTTTTCTTATTATTATAATGTCACGTGAACTGGGGGGTTATTATAGTCATTATTAACACTTTGGTTGTGTGAAGATGCAAGCACTGTTCAGAATTGGGAGAGGCGAACGCCCGCATATACCTAGTTCAGTGTCAAGAGAAGCTGAGGATTTCATTGTTAAATGCTTACAAGTTAACCCAGCTGATCGGCCTACGGCTGCTGAACTTTTGGAGCATCCATTTGTGAAGACAGCAAGAAGACATTGATTGACCTTCCCGGTTTAAGCGATGATTCCCAGAATCATTTGGAGTTGGTTTATGCTGTACTTGTTTCAGATTCTATGTAGAAATCAGATGATGTTGCTAATTTTAAGAAGTAAATAACATCCAATTCGTCATTACCATCCACAGTACTTCATAAATTACTAGTTTTGGTTGATTCTAAGGATCAAAATTAGCCAAAACAAATATGCCAGACAAGTGACCCTATTACTGGTGTTAATTTTCATATTGACAGTAATTTGCTTCTAGACCAATACAAATTCATGTGATACTGCTAAAATATAGGCTGATAAAAGGTGCCAATGAAGAAACAAAAGACAGAAGTGCTGTGAAAAACTGCTGACAACCTTAACAGATTAAGATGCAAGTGAATGGCAAAATATGCAAACGAATCTCCTTTTGGGCAAAACAGCAAAATAATTTACTTAAAAACTAACCGAACATAATGGGAGGGTAAACATATCTCCTGATTATGATGAGATGTGACCATCTGGTGCTGGCAAAACTCCTCTGTGAGTATCAGCTATGGCGGAAGCAGTCTCAAAGAGATTATTCTTTATGCTTTGATATCGAATCAACCCGTGCAAACAGTTCGCGAGCACATAGCTGAACTTCCCTCTCACTTTGGGTTATTACTTCCTGTAATTTGGCGCTTGATGCCTTCAAAACCACACACACACACATATGGTCATGACTTGTAAGACCATCTTCATGCTTTCAAACAAAAGGCAACTTCAAGAGATGAATGATATAAATGTGAGCAAAAAAAAAGAATGGGAATTGGGAAAGAGAAATATACTTTCACGAATTCTGCTGCCTCCCTCTCAACAACCCCCATGCTTTGACCCTCTTCTTCGGCAGCTTCTACCATCTTTTTTGCTTCAGTTGCATTTCTAGAAGTGAACTCCATCGTTTCCCTCCGCATTAAGTCCAGCTGTTTTTCAACCTAATTCATCCAATACTAAATTTTATACAACTGTTTGAATGTAAAACAAAACAATACGAAAAATTCTCCCCAATTTTTATCAAATGGGTGGACTTTTGTATCAGTAATACATCATGTTCAGTGGTGATTAATGGTGAAGCATATGGGTTTTTCAGGGGAGGTAAAGGTATAAGGCAGGGGGATCCTATCTCACCTACGCTCTTTGTGCTTGTTATGGAGTACCTCACTAGGACTCTGAAGGTTTTCTCTCAAACAAGGGCTTTTAATCATCATCCTATGTGCATGTCCCTAAATATTATCAATCTGTCCTTTGCAGATGATTTGGTAGTACTTTGTAAAGCTAATATGAAATCCCTGAAATGAATTCTGGAAGCTTTGGAACATTTTGGGCTCACAACAGGGTTACATGTGAATTATGACAAATCACAAGTAGTCTTTGGAGGCCTAAATGTCAAAGATGAAGATCAGCTTATACAAATGACAGGGATGAGCAGAGGAATACTTCCTTTCACATATTTAGGAGGGCCAATCACTGCTTCCAGAATTAGTGAGAAGGAATGTGAAAAACTGGTGGAGAGCATTACTGCTAAAATCACATCATGGGCTTCTAAGCATTTATCATATGCAGGTAGGTGTAAGACTGTAAGTTGATACATTCTGTTTTGTTTGGTATCCTTACCTTTTGGAGTAGAATGTTTATCATTCCTAGTAAAGTCATGAAGAAGGTACAGAGTGTTTGTAGGAATTTTCTGTGATGTTCTTCTTACAACTATAAGAAAGTCCTACTTGTAAAATGGGAGGAGGTTTGCCTTCCAAAACAGTATGGAGGTTGGGCTTGAGAAATATGGTCCTTTGGAATCAAGCTCATTTAATGAATTTGATATGGGATATAGATAAGAAGAAAGATGTTCTTTGGGTTAGATGGATCCATGGTTGTTATCTGAAAGGGGGGGAAATCTGGACTATATGCCGGGGCATGATACTTGCTTTTATTGGGAAAAACTGAATAAGAACAAGATTACCTTTAGAGACATGCCTCAAAATGGAGATTATGAATCTCAAGAAGGTTATAATTGGCTGTTGGCCTGTTGGGGAATAGAGTGAAACCTTGCTGGACAAGATTGGTATGGAATCAATATACTGTCCCAAAGCATCAACATTTTATGTCGTTACTGTGTAAAGATAGACTTCAAACAAAAGATAGATTGGGGAAGTTTATGCAGATTGATCAACGATGTATCCTTTGCGAGAATGGGTATGAAAACAGGGATCATCTGTTCTGTGAATGTACTTACACTAAGGAAGTTATGCATAGAATAGAACAGTGGACTGGATATAAAGTTTTGGGTTCGAATCTGAAGAAAAAAGACTGCCTGTTGGGCATTAAGGGAAGGAAAAGGAGACAACTTCTAACTCCAGTGTATGCTGCGACTTGCTATTCTATTTGGAGGACGAGGAATTATAATTTCCATCAGAACAAGGTCCTGAGTGTGGAGGATAATGCTTCGTGGATATATTATCATGTAAATACCTATGAGAGGGAAAAAGTTTACATAAGTTTTGATGTCTTGGTGTTGATTTACTTCGAGTTGGCCTTGAGTAGGTAAGTTATGAACTTGATTGTATTGTATTAAGTTTTGGTTGGTGAATAATTTTGTGTTCTTCAAAAAAGAAAACAATACCACTTTCACCAAATAAGACAAAGGAACATTGCACAGATGAGAGCTGAGACTAGTGAACTTTATGAAGTGAGTTTTTCTTGTTATGCGTGAGAGGGTAGTCTCAGAACCTATGTTTAATCATATGAATTTTTAGTAATCATATAGTTAGGGTATGATTTGGTCATAGTACAGAAATTTTCACATAAGACTAAAGCAGCAGGGAAACATACTATCTCTAGAATTTACTATGCCAGAGTATATCTCTTAACAAATCAAGTCAATTTAGAAAGCTCAAAGATTGATTCACTGCTCTTGCATCAGAAACAGGTGTTGGTCAAGGCCAAAACCCATTTCTTAAGAGTTAACTTAGCCATTTACATATGTTGGATTGTGCCATTTTTTCATGATTACTAAATCTTGTTTCCTTACTAAAGCCATAAATGCTATTTTAATTATTNCCCCCCCCCCCCCCCCACACACACAAGATTACTCATATATGATGACTAACAAAGTATCCTCACATATGTCGTATATTGATGCTAGCCACAATGCAAACATGGTTTTCACAAGTACATTGTAGTTTACCTCATTGGTGTGAGCTTCAAGAGTGGAAATACGATTCTTTTTTGCTTCAATTTTGGCGGTCATTTCCACGTCTTGTTGCCGAAGAGAGATCAACCCTTCTAATTTCTCCATGGAACTTTTCTTAATTTCCTCATCCAAGGAAGCAAGTGCAGGCTTTAGGACAGACTTATAGTCTATTCCTAAGACCTCCCTGGTTGAGGATCCTTTGGCCTCCAACTGAAAATGGTATTCATTTCCTAGTTTTAACCTGAAAAATTTTCACAGCACAGATAAAATGCACTGCATAAATTTGTTTTTTTAGAGGAAATTGAGGGATATCGATACACGGATACCTTCGCATAGCTTGGTTGGCCTCAATCATAAGCTGCTCAAGTTTCTTATAATCATGTCCAATCATAGAGTCTACTTCCCATCCCTTCTCTTCCCATTTATTCCTTGAATCCTCAATCTCTGCAATGCTTCCTTCCAAGGCCTGCAACTCCCGTTTCATCCTTTCTGCATCCCTGGCATTGATTCCCTGCTCTTCCACCCTCCTCTTCAACGCTTCATTCTCCACACAAATCCTCTCCTTCTCGGCTATCTTAACCTCCAAACACTTTCGTTTCTCCTCCAAAATGGCACTCCTTGCTGCTTTATACTCTTCCAACTTCTCGATCATATCACGGAACTTCTTCATGTCCCCTTCCAACACAGTTCTCTCAGCCTTCAACATCTCCACCTCACTAGGCCCAGCCTTCATAACCTCCAGCTTCTCCTCCAACTCCTGGGTAGTCCTTTCCAATGCCTTCGTTTCTTCAACGATTCTCTGCTTTTCATCCACCATTTCCTGCTTGATTCTGTTGTCCAATTTTTCCACTTCATCATCTTCTGCTCTGATGAAATGCATATACGTCTCGAGGAAATACCTAAACATCCGATTTTCCCGGACTGTAAGCTGCGTCTGAGTCGAGCTTGACTGGTGATTGTTGTACATGAGAAGCTGAACCAGCCAGTGAATTGCAGCGAGCAAACTAGGCCAGGCATGAGGAGTTCCAGGAGCTCGAAGTGCAGATTTGCTGTATTTTACAGGGCAATTTAGTGATTTCACTAGGTAATAGAACTCATCTTCAATATTCTGAGCCCGGTATCCGAATTCAGAGAGGATGAATGTGACGGTGTCAGTGATGTCTTTCGAGGGAGGGAGAGGATGCTTGAGAGAGATTGGGAGAGAGTGGTCGGAGAGGAAGGCGTTCACCGCACGGATGGCTGAGGATTGGTAGTTCCGGTCGGTGACGATGACGCCGGATGTCCGAGGGTTTAGGCCGAGTGAAGATGAGGATGGTCGGCTGCTGGCAAAGCTGGCGTCGGAGTCGCGGCCGCCGGCAGACATGTACTGCCACGCATCGTTGGGCGTGGCGGCGGTTGGAGTGGGCGGTGGGGGCCTACGGTCCCTCGCTGCCGACTGTTTGCCCCCGCGACGTCGCCCGGTTCCTCTCATCATCGGGAAATTTAGGGATTTTCTGTGAGTGTCGCCTGAGCGGTGAGAGCAGACGACGGAGTTGGGGTTCCGTTCCGGTTGATTTTGAAATGATTCTAGTTTTTCTGCAGTGCTTTCTAAATTGGGAACTTTTGATTTTCAAAATTATTCAATTGTCTCAGTGTTTCTTGTCTCTTTTTTGAATTTTCGATACTATATTTTTTTCTTGAGGAAGAGGGAGTATATTACTAGCTCCTTCCCAATTTATAACGTTTGTTTCGGTTTACGATGTTTGACTGAAATTATTTTCAAAGCATTTTATATGACAAATGGTATAGAATTAAAAAATAAAAATTACATATTAAAAAATTACATCAAAAGATCTACAAAACTAGTAGTGTGACAACAATATTTTATTTTATCAAATTGCTAACGAAAATAGAGAAAGAAAGTGAATAAAGTTTGACCCTGTGAATAGTAAACAGGCATTATAATTTGGGACGGAG